CAACTAGCAATTTTAAATTCGATACTCAACTCGGATGCAGTCATATCAATATGGTACAAACGAATGTGTACTAATATAATATAAGTTAAAGGTCACGTCAAAAAAGTTTTCGTGGAAATAATATTGTTTTAATATTAAAGGAATTAAGTCGTGTGTACAAAGTTTGAATTTTAAGACTTAGCACATAATTTATACTTAGGTAGGTACTGATGAGGTAAATTAACACGGTTACTCCGTGTTTGTGAGTATTAATAAATACTATTAAAGGAGCACACAACACAAAAAAAAAAATATTTAAATTATTTTTAAATGTTAAATTATTGTAGATATGGCTAAATGAAATGATTTAGTGAAAATCTGATGCAAAAAAAATTATTACTTTAAGAGATATTATAAAATGTAAAATAGCCGCATGACATCATTGGACACTACTCTTCGTAATCGCCTATCTTATACGTGTAAAAGTTCCTCACTTCTCACAACGATTTACCCACCTAAACATTTTATTTTTGAAAAGTAAATTTACGTATAAATGTGTGGTTTTGTGTGTTTAAGACGACGCAAGAATCAGAATTTATATATGACGTTTAGTTTTTTTAAATATTAAAAATCTTAAAAGTGATATTTTTGTTAAACGGCGCTCCATGGCGATTTAATTACGAAATAAAAATTCCAAAATTTCTCTTTTAAGATTTTAAATATTTAAAAAACTAAACKTCATATAAAAATTCTGRTTCTTGCGTCCTCTTAAACACACAAAACCACACATTTATACGTAAATTAAATTTCAAAAATAAAATGTTTAGGTGGGTAAATCGCTGTGAGAAGCGAGGAACTTTTACACGTATAAGATTGGCGATTACGAAGAGTAAGGCCCAATGACGTCATGCGTCTTTTTTCAATTGCTCATAACTTATTGAATAATGTGAGTAGAAACGTAAAACTTATAACATTATCCTTATAATTGAACATTCTTTCAAATAAAAAAAACTTRATTTTTGTGTTGTGTGYTCCTTTAATACTAGTATTTACATTGTGGTCACCGAATGTACAATATGGCAACCRTTGCACTACAATGATCAACTAATGAAAGCTGTAATGATTGCTTGTTATCAATGATAAAAATTTAAAATTTTGTTTTTTATAATTTTATTTCTTCGTCCATTCAAATCCCAAATATGTAATTGGAAATGTATCAATATTTTTCATCACAAGTTATGACTTTATGAATGAGATATTTYTTCCATGTACCTATTGGTTATTTTGCATGAATTTTGGGCATAATTTGTTTTTGATTTATGTTATTGTAATATGGAGTTAGCACAGTGGCGCCAAAATGGCATCCTGTTTCATAATATTAATAAGTTAATTTATAGAATTTCCAATAGATGAATTCTTTGATGCATAYAATTATAATTTAAATGTATTCCACAATACTATAGATAATTAACGCGAAGATTTAAATAATATATTATTATATTGAGATGACCTTAAGCAAAATTGTCCATTCATTATGTGTTTTCCCTCTGATGCCATGCGAAGCATGTTTAACATCTGTATTTATAGATGTCCTTATATGACAATATTTTATACAATTTTGTCATTATTTTTTCTCTTGATAAGTTTCAAAAAAAAGTTCATAAATATATTGATGTTAATGTATTAAACATTTACATGCTCCTATGACCTATTCACTGCTAACTATCATTATTCAACACTATTATTTTACATACTATTATTGAAAATTGTGTTTCAAGYCTACAGATCAGTATCACTAGTAGTACATTATAATTCCGTCAAAATATACTCCTTGAGAATGTATGGTCTATGTATTATTTTATTTTTCTAGCAGATTATTGATGCACATTTTCATGATTTTGTCAAAATTCCAACTTTAAACAATCATGATAAATTATTATAAATTAATATTAACTTTATTGATCAGTATCACAGGTATTACATTAGGTTCAAAATGATGACACTCAGGACATTCAAATTTTTCATCGACCATTCTTTTTGTCTGTAATAAGAATATAATATTATAATTTAGAAAAATAACTTGTCGCATTATTTTCCAACTTACACTTATACAGTAGTAACAAAAAACATGGGAGCATTTAAGGTGATGCGGTAATACAGGCCTCTCTTGACAAATACTGCACACTGACACAGGAAACATAAGCGGCTGTCTTTCTTTGAAATCTCTTTTGCGTGGTGTGAAATGCATTACTCTGGATATTTTATGTTTTAAAGACTGATAATTGATCAGAGGTAATGTGAATAACAACAGCTCCTAGAAATTAGAATATACTTAATTTAAATGCTATTAAAATATAGACAAGTAAAAATTTAATTAAGTTGTAAAACCTTAATTAAAGATAAAAATATCAATAAACTGTTAAAAATCAATGAAATTTTGAATGATTGCAACCTATTTCCTAACCAAAGTTAAAAAATATAAGCATTTTGATTTAAATTTAATAAAATAGATATGGGGTTTTACTTTAAAATGTTTATTAACACATAACACATAAATAATATATTAAATAAATATATTAACACATAAAAGTAATTTCCTATAAGCTATTATTATTAAAATGACATCAACTTAATAATGTTARTTCTTTCTATTACATATAAAAACTACTCTTTGAATTTTATTAATATATAACCAAAATWTGCACATTAGTTTAAAAACTGTAAATAATGTTTAGCTSATTTCAAGAAATAAACCTATAATAAACTGTAACAACTAAAAAGTTTTCAATAATGCCTAAAACTCAAAATATTTATAAATAGTAAATGCATTGAAATCTGTGCCGTACTAATAACTAATAAGCAGAGAGGTGATTTTTGTTTAAAATGTAGAATCCACATCCACACTATCCATAGTAGAATTTTTTGAAAGCATATTTTGGTGCTTAAAGAATAATTCAGCATATTAAGTATTTAGCTGTAGGTCAAGTTAGACAAAAAATTTTAGGCTGAAATTGGTGAATAATTTGTTACATATTAGTTATTAAATTAGAAATTATTTCATTGTTTCTAATATGACTGCATTTAAATAATTTACCAAAGAAAAGGAATAYWWWARKWAWTTTTAAGATTAAGCATATTATATGATCTGCAATCACTGGATAGTGAATATAAATAAATAATAAATTTACTAAATTTTATCTGAACACATACTATTATTTATTAAACATAATATGTTTCATATTATACAAATTTTTAAAGTTGTAACAAATGGTGTATTTTAAATATATTTTTCCAGTTCAAGGATTATTAAAAGAATTTCAGAGTATATTAGAATCATATATTAAATTTTGAAGAGCCTAAAAATCAGCTTTTCATAATAAGTAATAGGTTATAAGCTATTAAATTATATTCTGTTGACGTTTTGGTATGGAAAACTAAATCCAACAGTTTTCAATTGAAAATATTTAAAA